GAATTATTCCGTCGGGCCGCCATCGACCGCTTATCGCTCGATTTTTCGACGCGCCGTGAAAGGAGCCCGCTATCCCGGAGTCGTTTACGAGCCAGCAGGGACACCGGAAGCGTCGCGACGCGACGTCGCGCGTTTCCTATCGTTGCCCGAGTTCCAAGCTCCCCGACCTAATCAGGATTCGGAATGCGCAGTGCGTATAGCAATTCCGCGCGGACGTGCTCGTGTTTTCTGGAATCGAGGATTATCCCGAGCCGTGGAAACAGGCCGAGAAATCGCCTTCGGACGAGCCCGCGCGCGCGANCTACGACTGCATGTGAAAAATGCAGCGAACCAATGTTCCGCGAGAGAGAGAGAGAGAGAGAGAGAGAGAGAGAGAGAGAGGACGAAAGAGAAGATCCATCGTCCCAGCGCGATGCGGTTTATGAAACATTCAATCGGCCGGATTACAGTGAGCAGGAGCTAATACGTCGTTCCCCTAGGCCCCTAGGAAATTTTTCATCGACCCTCGGATCGCTCTCGATCCTCCTGGATCCCTCTCGATCCTTCTAGATCCCTCTCGGTTCTTCCAGATCCCTCTCGGTTCTTCTCGCGGCGCGAAACGAGCTGCTCGAGGAATTCTGTTCCCGGAGGTCGCGAGAGCCTCTCCAAAATTCACGGGACGGGTCGGAGGAGGTCGAAGGAGGTCAGACGCTTAGCGCGCTCCGGGGAATGTTCCGAAAGTTTCGCGGAAGATCGGAACGGCGGCGTGGCGACGTCAGCCGACGTCGTCGACGAGCCGAATATGGAATATCGGAGCGCCACCGGGAAACCGGACTTTTCCGGGCAGCTTTCCCACCGACAGCTTTTCCCATCGCGCGGCTCTTGTCTCGTAGAAAAATCTCGCCGTGTCGCTGGAATTATTCCGTCGGGCCGCCATCGACCGCTTATCGCTCGATTTTTCGACGCGCCGTGAAAGGAGCCCGCTATCCCGGAGTCGTTTACGAGCCAGCAGGGACACCGGAAGCGTCGCGACGCGACGTCGCGCGTTTCCTATCGTTGCCCGAGTTCCAAGCTCCCCGACCTAATCAGGATTCGGAATGCGCAGTGCGTATAGCAATTCCGCGCGGACGTGCTCGTGTTTTCTGGAATCGAGGATTATCCCGAGCCGTGGAAACAGGCCGAGAAATCGCCTTCGGACGAGCCCGCGCGCGCGACCCGCGATCGCCTCGTCCACGTTGCCCGAGGACGATCGGCGGCGCGATTAATTTTCCGGTCAATAAATAAAGTCAACATGCCGGCGCGGCTCGGTTAATATTGGCGGATGTGCAGCGCGCCGTCGAAATTCAGCCGGGAGACCGCCTCTCTCTCTCCTCGCGGAATAAATTATCTCTCAAACGCTTCGAAACGACCGTCTCTAGCCGTTTCTCGCATAATTCGATCGAGGATTCCGCGCGCGCGTTTTCCGCTCCTGCGAATCCCAGGGTTTCCGAGTTAATGGGTCAATGCCGGCGGGCCTCATCACTCTGTTTAACCCTCTCGCTACGGCTTATTCATCGCCGGCGACCTTTGACCGGCGTGCACGCGTTTTCGCCGAGCGAACCCTGGGCGAACGCACCCTGGGCCAACCGGGACCCAGAAGAGGGAGAATATCCCGTTTCGCGAGTGCCTCCGAAATTACAAAAAGGAAAAACTATGCGGATCGTTGATCGAAGATAGTTGAGATCGCGAAACGTGGTGAGATATATTTATTTCGATTTTCTTACGTGTTTTAATCGAATTCATTTTTAAAAGTTAAATTTCGAGTAATTCCGTTGTCCGGAAACTCCGAGCAAGCGTTAGCGATACAATGCGTCCGGAACAATGCCTTTCTGTTCGTTTCGGACGACGAAAACGCGGCCGGACACGCGGAAATCGTACACCAGCTGGTTTACGAAAGGGTTGAACTTCGTTCGAATTGTTTCGAATAAATGTGTTTATTTAAGATAATTGTCCGAACGAATACTTGTAATCGTTATGTAATCCTAAAATAAAATTAATATATTAATAAAATTAAATAACTTAATATCATGTAATTCGTAATAAATTATCTGCAATGAGTGAAGTTAACCGTGGAAAGAAACATAGAAGAAATAAATGTATAAACTACGAAAGAAAAAACGCTGTATATTCCAGCATTTTCATTCAAATCGATTGAACTCCATACGAGAATTTCAGTACGAGAAAACTCTTATTCGGGTAAAATCTTGTTCGAACGGATCCCCTATTCGAATAAAATTCTGTACGGCTAAATTTTCGTACCGGCCAAATTATTCGATTGGATATTTATACGACGACGAATCGCGTCGAATCAAATTTTATTCGTTTAGTCTCCGTTTCTCTTGTTCGCCGACCGAATAAAATTCTTGCCCAACCTCTGGTTTATGAGCTCGCAGGCAGACCTAGTTGTTGCGGGCTGATATCGCGAGCAGGGGTGGTGAGCTACTGTATCGGGGACGCCGATTGCTCGAATCCTCTTAAGCTCTCGAGGAGGCCGCCCCGCCGCGACTGTGTTTACGATCGGAATACAGAAATCGCCCGTGCAAATAATTCTGCGGCTACGCGGCGAAACAACGTCGCTAGCTTTAAAAAATTTAAGTCGACGCATCGGTCGAACCGCGGCCGATCGAACCGTATTTTTGTCAGAAGAAAACGTCGCGGAGACACATGGAATTCGAGGCGCGGCTGATACGAAGCATCGGCGATCGGAACTTTTCAAGCGATAATATGTCGGAAATGGAAGAAAATGACCTGCGAAATACCTGCGTATCTCGCTCGCAGCCACAGGATTATAGCAAGCTATTGCCTATGTTTCTTGCTCGATCCTACGATCGTTCGTTCAAGATTCGGGTTAAAAAGACCGAGTGGACCGGTCGCGGACGCTTTCGGACGCGATTTCGGCCGCGTTCATCCTCTTCCTCTCGACGCAACATATCGCGAGGATCTTTCGTTTCCCGAGGATGCGAGGATCCCTTTCGCTCGGATTAGTCCGCGGCAATTAAACGCGACCCGCTGCCGCGCGCTCGCGCGCCTACGAATCCAAACAAAAGCGAGAAAAGGCAGTCCGATATCGTCGATTACCCGCCTCATCCGATTACATTAATTAAATATTCCCGCCCCCGCCGGATGAAACGGAAAGAGGACACGGACGACCAGATTCCGAGCCAGCTTTTTCAAGCCCGAATCCTGCGTTCCGCTAAATAAACCCTTTCGCCAGCGACGACCAGGCGTTTGGTCTCTCTCGAATCGAGATCAATATCTCTCGGATAACGCGTTACACCCGACTCTGTGCGGGTACTGATCATCGTACGAAGCGAATCGGTTGTTCCTTCGAGCCCGGGCAGCAATCGATTTGCCGGAGTTTAATTATTTTCATCGGATTTGAAATTGTGTAAAACGGAACCGTTTCGGTGATTTTTATATTGCGAATTTCTGTTCGCTTTTCTTCGCGTTGGTTATTATTATTATATATTATATATTATACTATATATAATAAATAATATAATACTATATATATTAAATTATATATTATACTATATATAATAAATAATATGATACTATATATATTAAATTATATATTATACTATATATTATATAGTATTAGCTCCTGCTCATTATTATTTATTATGCACGGTTGATAAAATGCATTAGCCTCGACAACGGTGCAAATTGAGGGACGTAAAGATGGTATAAAGAGAAAATATTGGAAAATATATAAAAGAGAATAGAAAAATAAATATATTCTCTAAAATTCTTCGTCCACAATAATTTCCTTAGTAAAAGGAAACAGTTTCGATCTATTTCGTACATTTCTAATAGTCTTCCGATTGAAAATTAAATTAGTACAATTACTAAAATTGAATTACTATACTTTGAAGTCAAATAAAAAATCTATCACACACGCAACAATTCGCGAACACAGTTTTCCCCTTTCCGTGTTTATCTTCTTCGCTTTTTACGTACGTCTGTTTCTCACTTTCTTCGCTATCTTTAACCAACTCGATTTACACCTTCGTTAAGACTAACAGCTTTTATTGCCCGTATACAACGAAAGAAAAACCAGGTTACCCATCCGCGCACCCCCGACCAACCCCCTGCCGCAAGTCCCGAGGATCGTGCATGAATAAAATCTAGCCTCTTGTTTAACCCAACGGAGTCCCATTTAAACGAGCACACAAAGCAGACTCCGCGCCGTTCCAAAATTGAATTCGCATGCTGCGAGTCAAAGCAGACCCGCTGCCGGCCCAAGGATTCGACCATTGCGACATGTATAAAATAATTCTGGTGGCACTGTAACGAGAGCTACTGGCCGGGCTGCGGACGTTTATTCGAACGACCGTAATCGGGGGCAGGTTCCAAGAGAACGGAGCCAAGTAGAATTTTATTCCCCGCGGCGATGGCTCCGGGACGACCGAAAACCGTCTCGAATCGAACACTCTACCGCGGGCTATTTCGAGAAATCTTTCGGTGAACGCGTCGCCGCGGTCCTGTCAGCGCCGATGCGGTGGCACCAAAGGGTGCGAGCACCATGGGCGGCCGACGCGGGCCATGGCACCCCGGCGAATAGAATCTATCATGGTCAACGGCGGCTAATCTCGTTACTGGTGTGCGCGGACCAACTTTTATCTTTGCACACTTGCCGCGGTTACGTAAAGTTATTAGTTTGACCTATTTCCGTGCGGAGAAACGAGCGCGAGCACGCGAGAGAGACGGAGCCGGAGAGAGAAAACAGATAGAGACAGATAGAGAAATAGAGAAATACGCACTAAAATGCCGCGAATTCCTATAAAAGCATACTTGTCCGTATCTGGTTCTCTATCGGCCAGTATCTCCGTTTCCCTCTGTCTCCTGTGCGAGCACCCTGCCGGCGAGGGAGCCGGGCGATTCCAGGCTCGGCTCGGCACGGCGCGGCGCGGCGTTCTATTCGCGGTCCGATCATCGATTCCATCGGAAAACGAAACCAATCAAAGCCGGTCGGTACTCACGTTGACTGCTGCTCCGTCGTATGATGTTCTCCAAGAATGTGTTTTGCGGGGCGACCAGGCCCCTGCGCCCCCCTGGCATCCTTTCTCCCGTGAATGATCCCCGGAATCCTGGTCGCTGCGGCTATCAGGACCTAGGCCAGCCTCTGTCGGCTACGCTGTTCACGGTGCTCGGTCTTCCTCGCCTCATCCTCGGGCACGGCTCGCTCTCTCTCTCCTCTCGCTATGCGTGAATCTCTCTTCTCGCTTCTGTTATCCAGCTCGGCTTGCAACCGTGACACGAACGGGCCCGCGGCACCACAACACTAACTGAATGTCATGACCCGCGGATAGTTCACCATCGCGCGGCGTCTCCTCGGTAGTCGGCCAGTCCCGGACAGCCCGATCACCGGTCATCCAATATAAGTCACCAGGGCGACGCACTCGATGTCACACGGGGGGTCCGCGCACTCTGTTCGACCTGGACCCTTCGTTTTCGCTCGATCCCGCGCACGGATCTCTCCCTTAGAACGTTGTTTCGCCCCGTGTACGTTGCCCCCTCCGTTCGGCAACCGAACGCGGCGAACCCGCGATTCGGCTAATCGGGCCGCGTCTTTCGTCACCTGGACGCGGCTCCTTCGGCTCCGGCTGTCCCGTCTTCCGGCGCTCCAAGCCCGAGCAGTCCCCGTGTCCCGGTCTCGGGGACCTCTTCCGGTTTCCGGCGCGGCGTACCCGCCGGACAACAACTAAACGGCGTGGCGGGTGCGGGGCTGGTGGCGGGCGCGAACGCAAATGCGATCGCGGGGGCGGAGGCGGAGGCGAAGGAGATGCGGGAGGAGAACGGCGACCAAGGGAACGGGGAGGACGGCGGTCCGGATTTATCGAGGCAGCGACCACGACGTCGATGGCCTCGCGATAGTGTCCTCGGCTGGTGGACGCGCGATCGATGACCCATCTAACCGCAGTCCTTCCAGGTTATCGCGCGCGCTATCACGGATACCCGACGGCAAGTAATTAGACGACTGCGCGGTACCTGCCACGTCGTTCTCCACATCCTCGGCGTCCTCCTCGGCGTCGGTGCAGCTGGTGCCCGCGGAGGAGAACATCCCTTTGCGAGGGGAACGCGGATACCAAGGGAGCCGAGATCACATCCTTGATCCTCGGCCTGGCCAACGGCCCGCGGATACTGTTGCCGCTGCGAGACCACCGGCTGCCTGCGATCGAGAATCCTTGCCGAGATACCACGGTACTCAGCCTCGATGAGGCTACGGTGCACCACCTGCAACACAAATCGGACCGTAATCAACACGAACGTACCGTTGTCGTTGATTTTATTGAAACCGAAAAGCGTTATCGTTGAGCTCGTATACAGACTCTCTTATCCGGAGGGTTGTTTTTGTAATATCCTATCGTCTAACAGCTTCGTCCAAGTTCTCTGCTAGCCGGTAATGTATCTGAATATCTTTAAAGAATTTTAAAAATTTTGGAAGTTTAGAATCTTAGAATTTTTATACTTTATTCGCCAGAAACCTATTAACAGGCTTCTGGATGGCTGTATCCGACTGTAAGAGAAGCTCGATAATTATGTTTTAAATGACAATTTTGAAAGAACTATTTACATTGCATTACGCTGATTAGTTCAATGAATTATAGATAAGATTATCGTCGTCTTTGCAACAATTTTTTGACTACCTGTTTTAAAATGACTATCAGAGAACTGCCGTTAGATAAAGTATCAAGATGATTCTACCACGACGAATATATATCCTTTCCGTTCGAATGGAGGTTACGCCAGCCGGCGAACCGATCGAACTTTCGCAGTTGTTCGAAAGGAAAGACCCCCCGAAGCAGCGCGAAACAAGATTCCCATTCGCGAAACCCCTAATCGGACCGTATAGCCCGGCGTGGTATAGCGGGACGAGACACGAGACACCGCGGAATGTTTCAAGGGACTATCTCCGTTTAATCTGGTAGCGGATGCAAGGACGCGTGCGGATATTCAGCGCGGAACGTATTCAGACGGGTCGGGGCACGATACGCTTCTCCGGTCTACGGCTCCCTGCAGGTATCAATACCCGGCATTCAGAAGTTTGAGCTAATTCCCTTGGTGAATGGGGAGCGCCGGCGGTGCCTATCTCGGCGACAGAGCACCGGTGTATCTTGCCAACGGCCGCGGCCGGGACACGAAATTGTGTTTTCACGCTGCGGGCAATAAGTCGTGCCAACTCGAGACAGCGTTCAATGCCGCTGTGCTCGCATCCGGTGGTGCACGAGCAATAACACCCCGATGTCGACGCGTTGTATTTAAATCAGAAAGTTTCCTGGCCGCGCCTTTCCGCAACGTCTGCACGAAACACAACCTAAAAAAAAAAATTAAAAAAAATTGTAAAATTGTACAGATACAACACAGACTTTCCCTATAAGATACTCTCTCAGAAATAGTATTCCCAATTTCTGCAGATTTCTCGTTTGGCTGCCAGATAATTCAACAGAGAAATAAAACCGAATCGATGTAAATTTAACCGTGCACCATTGTGTCAAGGATTCCCGACCGCCCGCTCTGTTCGATTATATAAATCCTTGGTTAAGAAATCGGGGGAACACGATCGCGGGTTCGCAATAACAATATGGCGGACGAGATCACGTGATCGAACCTTGTCACTCCGGGGAAAGGCGACTATCAATTCGAACGGGTTACAGTTCGGATCTTCAAAGAAACTTTAACGGGCACACCGTCGCCCGTCACTCGCTGTCACAATTTTCAATTGGAAGAACCGACCTTCCGACAAGTTAGGCGTGCCGATATAAATGAAACTCTTTTGTGGCGAATCCGCAAACGGTCGGACACGCCTGGCCCCGGATTGCGCAGCCGGTGAATGTTTGTTTGAAATCGGTGACGTCATTTAATCGATCGATAACACTTACAGGTTTCACCCCCATCGTTGCACAGGTGAGAGTTAACGTCCGTCCGTTCGTCGGGTATCGGCGAGATTGGTCGCGTTTTTCGAGCGGAAGCTCCCGGATCGATCCGATTCCAAGAATACCGGCGCCGAGACCGCCACTGTTCCCGGGGCTAAAATTAAACCGGTCCGATTGTTGGGAATCGTCGCGGCTACGGGCCCGAGTTAATGGATCCGTGACGAGCGCGACTACGACGTGCAATTACTAATCGAACGGCACTTTATTGCGGCGCAATATCTACTTGGATTCCTGGAACTTGACGACGCATTCACCAAGACGACGCGCCAGAATGAAACAGGACTGCCACGCGCAGCAATGGCGGCGCTGCCAACTGTAACCGATTCTCGAACATGCTCGCAGAGAGGGCGCCCCGTTCGTTTTTGAAATCGGTGTGGGATACAGAATTGCTTTGCTCCGAATGTCTGATGTCGTTATTAGTAACGACGTTTCTGTCGTTTGTAATTAAATCATTGATGTCTGCTCGCGTTCGTCATTACTCGTTCTCTACTTGAAATTCTGCGCGGTAGAACGCGCAGCGAAATGGCGGGGATTCAAACGTCTGCTACAAAAAGTGAAAAAACGTTTCACAGAAACTGTACGCGGTGTGTAGACTGCGGATCATTATGCAAAATACAAATTTTCTTCGGCAATTGTTCGAAACAGAAGCGACATGAAAGTGTATTTCTTGTTTTAGTGATTTCAATTAATAAGGGAGGATGTGACAACAGATTAGATTTGTTTTAATTGTTTGGCCTGTTTTAATAATAATAATGATAAAGATTGAAGCCTAATGATAAACAGACCTGGGAACATTTTATTTGTAATGAAAATAAGAATTAACTATTTGGAATAGTAGTAATCTCAATCTTGGTTAGAGGGCGCGCATGTTGCAATATGCGTAGAAGACAGTGAAAGATGAGTGCAATTGCGTGTGAAAATTCTGTTGAAATTATGAACAAATTCAATCGTTGTAGGTAATTGATAGGATGAATAGAGAGTATAGAAATAATAGGTAACGTGGAAGTGGGGGCTAAAGAAGAAACGGTGTAATTTAGCAAAGATTAGAGTAGGAAAGTAAGAGCAGATTCTGAGGTTAGGAAGAGATGAAGGTAGAGGGAATAGGCGATAAAGTAATCACTATAATAGATACGAGTGAATTTTGTAGATTACGATGGTAGAGAACAAAAGATTGGAATAAGTAAGGAAAATGAACGTAACAGATAGAGACATAGGAAAAGAATATGGAATAGCAGAATATGGAATAGTAGAAGCTAAAGAAAGGAAGGAAGGTTAGACAGCTGGAAATGAAGAGAGGAAGGTGACCAATGGAAGAGAATGGAGGAGTAAACCAGCCAGGATAACAGAAAATTACTAGAGCATTGCAGGACTGATAAAGAAGGGGCAGACAATGAGAAAAAGGCGGAAGACTAGGTAATAAAAAAAAAGATAATATTAATTTCACATAATGAATTATTTTAATGTATTATTTATTTATTCCAAAAAGTTCATCGTTAAGAGATTTTTGTCTAGGTCTATTAAATATCGTTATCGACGTTATTCTTTAGAAAAATATTCCTTATTATAGGATAATCGTTTCAGATGGTCAGGATTGATCCTTATAACTCAGGGAAATGTCAGACAAGGATGTTAGCACAAACTAGACTTAGAGGTCATAATTAAAGCAGCATATGACCTCTCCAAGGAGAATGCCATTACCTCACATGATTGCAACTAGAAGATTATATAATATACTATACAAAATAATTATGAAACAAAATGACGCGTTACTTGAAATCATCTTCTAAATAATGTCGTTCCAAAAGCGTCTAACTTCGATGATAAAGCGCTACCGTAACTCGGCCCCGTAAAGGTAACTTATCGACCCGCGGAGAGGCCGGTTAATTCGATTAGATCGGATCGAATTCTCGTTTCGGGATGAATCGTTTCCACGATGGAGATGATTCGTCCCAAATGAATAACAACGACAATAGCCCTGTCGGATCGAGGTGCACGCTGGGATTACCTTCGAGGGTAACCGGTAGCTCGAAACATTAATATTCGACGGGATCCGGTGGAAGGATCGTAGCAACTTGATGCATTCGAGGGGAAGATTCTTGGTCGGGCTAGGTTTGGGGAGGATTGCGACTTGGCCGAGCCGAACGGGAGATTGCCGTTCCTCCTCGCCGCGGCAACCTTCGTCGGACTGTAGCTCGTTTCGCCGATACCTTTTGTTTTGTCAGGCATTGTGCTACCCCGAGATTACTATCGCGATGACGGCGGCGGCGGTGGCGGCGTCGTTCTCCCGTGCCGTTTCGAAAATTGCTCCCGGTAATAACTTTTGCGCGTCGCTGCGTCTCGCCGCCCCTGATTTCCGTTCCTCGAGATCCGGCCACGGGAATTTCGAGATCACCGACGTGCCAGCCAAATGAAAACTCGACCGCCGAAGATACCCGTTGAACGGGTCCAATCAAACTCCACAAGGAAACCATTAACGCGTTCGGTGCCGCGTCGATCACCGTACAGCTGACGCCTAATTCTTAACCGAGACTTTCAACATTCATTTCTATCGTAATGCAATGAACAAACTGCGCGTCGCTAGGATACTTTTATGACACAATAGGCAATTTTAATTTCCTAGTTTCGGTTTCGCGAATTAAATGAATTTGTTTAAGGGAGAATTTTTTCAGAGTTAACACTAGATTTGCGGGAGCCGTCACAACGACGGGACACTAATTTTTTAATTTACGATTATTCGCATCGTAAAGATACATTTATAAGGTATTTATTCAATTTATATGTTACAAAATAACACTTGTTCAAAATCAGAATAAATGTCTTATTGTTACTTTTATAAACATCTTCTGTGCTCCGTAAATCTAGCGTTGATATTCGGCACTCGTCGCGTCGACGGATAACGAGATAGGTAAACAACGCTTACATATCTCGGCCCTGTTAATCGGCAATTCGCTCTCCCTAAACCTATATCGCTAATTACCCCGGCACAACGTTGAATCCTCGTCGAAGGAAAAGCAAAACGAGACGGTAGGGGCAACGCGTGTAACCGGCTTTCCACCTAATCGCTCGACTCTCGTTTCTACGCAATCGCGAGCACAATCGAGATCGTCGAGTGACTTGAAATCCGGCCGCAAACGGTGTCAATTATAGGCGAGAATTACAAGCTCGCCCGCGTATGCTTCCCGCGGCTCTGTTCATTAAGGGTCCGCGTACTTTCCGGGGTGAATCGAGCACTCGCGGGCGTTTTCACGGTCCGCTGGCCACCTCGAGCATGAAACGCTTCGGAACGGATGGGATAAGAGGGATTCGTGGATCCATTAACAATGGTAGACGATAAAGGAATGAATACAGTTGCCTGGAACGCCACCGACGAGAGCCCAGCCGGGATCGATCCGAATTAACCCTCGACCAGCGGTGCCGGGCTTGCTGAGATCTTCCAATATTTCTCGAAGACGACCTGCGTCCGTTACAAGCATGATTTCGTCGACATTGGGTTTGACGATTTGACCTTATAATTTGGAATTTTATGCAGGGTGTCCTACAATTATGTTAATATTCAGAAAGGGGTGATTCCTCGGATCATTTGGAGCAATTTTTTCCTTTACAGAAATTTTCTCCGAGGCATCGTTCACGAGTTATCAACGAAAAACAGTGACCAATGAGAGGCGAGAGATCAGCTGGCGCGAGCCGGCGGAGCCAACGAGCGGAACTGGGCTTCGTGCGCTCGCTAACTGGCCAGCCGAGCTCGCCTTTGATTGGTCAGCGTTTTTCGCTAATAACTGGTAAACAAAGCCGCGGATCGCATTTTCGCCAAGGAAAAGGTTACTTGAAATCTCCCCAGGAATCATCCTTTTCCGGCTGTTAACATAATTACGGAACACCCGGTATTGGCATTGAGCTTTAGAGGCCGGTTGCAAAATCGTAGGCTAAATCAAGATAATCGCTTCATTCAATATCAGCTTGCCGACATTAATATAGTTTGAAGAAGACGTCGACGTTGTATGCAGAGATTGATCGCTGAATCGTAATCCCGAGATAATGGTAGACGAAGAGAATCGTTCCTTTCAAGTCGACTATGTCTACGATCTTCGGGCGAAGTCTGTGAAACGTAGAAAAAGTCGGGCGGCTTAAAACCGGACTGATTTTCATGCCATTGTTGCATTAATAAGGCGGCAGCGTACCGAAATCGATGTAATACCGAAATGTACGAACATCGAAATGATTATAATACCGGAATGAATAAATAACGAAGTCATTAAAATATCGAGAACGAATGCCGGAGCCGATGTACGACCGAGACCGAAATAGATACCGTTGCATGCCGGATATTAATTTATTTATTTATATATACGGGTGAAACCCCGTTTTTACAAATTGGCAAACAAGATCCACAGATTTTAACTCTAATAAATTTGCAAGTCTCGCCGCTGTCAACAATAAAAACACCGGTAAAAATACCGCGTTGCCTTCGTATCTCGCTTTCCACGAAGTTTCCGCAGTTACGAGGCGAAAAAGTGCCGATATTAAAATCGATTTGCATTCCGGCAGAAGTGTCTGGAAACAAACGGTTCCGGGCTAGATTGAAAATCGCGTCGGTTTAAGGGCTGAAACGCGCGGATAAGGTGGGTCTTGCGAGCAGAGACCGGCCTTGATCTGCAAGTAAAATGAAAGCGGGACGAAATTGGGACGACTCGCGAGGACCGGAAGTCCTCGGCGAAGGGCATCCCGTTCGATCGCGGAGTTCCGTGCGATTTCGCCGATCGCGGCGAAGGTCGTGCGGGTGGCTCGCCGAGGGAGCCCAAGGCCCTCGAACGAGGATAAACTTGTTGTGCCCGGCCGTGTCGAAATTTTTAGATCAAGGATCCGGCCGTACGGCGCGCGTGCACGTAGAGAGCGAGGCTCGTTCGTCGATTAGCGTGTCGTCGATGGAAACAATAAGACCGTGAAGGATCTAATATATTCGGGCCTGCCGAGGGCCCGCTCTTTCGCCGGCGTTCGACGGGTCTGCGGGAATTGGCACGCGAGAGCGGGACCAACGGCGACGTATCGGGAACAACGAAATCGCGGAACGGATTTAGAAGAATTCCGACGGCGAGCGAAGGTCGCCACGAAAACGGAGAAGTAGTTCGCGGCGCGATCGATCAAAGTGGTTCCCCGAGCTAAGCATCGGACTCCGTATTCCTTTGGACGCATCGGTGCACGCCTCCCTCGGAATTCCTTCGATTCGAGACACGTTCCTGCTTCTCTAATCCTCTGGCCTTTCTCTCCCGCAGGAAAAATTTCAGGGAGCCGCCGAGACGTGGACGTAGACGAAGGAAACGAGAGCAAAATCAGCAGCTACGTATGGGAATCCTATAACGTGCCGACGTCCGGGGCCGCGTCGGAAGAACCACGGACGACGAAGAATGCCGGGCATCCGACGGTAGATTATCGGCTCTCGAGCGTATCGCAGAACGCTCTCAACGAAACTCCCGGCCGAACACTCGAGGCCTTATCGCCGCGAAAGAACTTCTAGGGATCCTCGGATGACCTGCGCGCCTCCGAGAATTCCCGGAGGGCTTACTCAAGGTCGCCGCGAGGATCCCAGCGTTCCCGGCGAACTCGGTGAGCAGCACGTTCGAAGAGCCTAAATGGACCGGCGATGTTTTTGTAGGGCGAGGAGGTCCAAGGTTGCCGAAGATAGACTTCGTAGATTCCGTAGGAAGGCTCGAGAATCTTGGAGAGCTTCCAAGGATCCTCGAAGGACGCGCGGAGGATCCAGAAGGCTTCCAAGGTCCTCCTAGAACGGACTCCTAGCTCGGAACTGTCGAGGAGCTCCAGGGTGCTCCGAAGGGTGCTCGGACCTCTCTAATGGATCCTCGAGTTCTTCGGAAGACTATCGGGATCTCGCAGGACACCTCCGAATCACCCTGGAACGTCGGACATTCCAGGACCGCGGGACCTTCGACAGACGGCGAACCCTTGAAATCGATTCCTCCGTCGAATCGACGAGGCTCGCCGGGGGATGAAAGCCGACGCGGATCCCGATCCGATCGGGGTACGCGAGAAAAAGGGAGCAAAGACCGTCGTCGGGAAAGAGGTCACCCGGATTTCGAGCGATCCGCTCGCCAGAAAGCAAGCCGTATCTCAAGGTAGCCCATCATTTTTCGTGGGAGGAGTTTTTGGCACGGCTGTCGGGATTCGCTTACCCTTTTTCTCCTTCCCCGTTGATCGATCGGCAACCAGGACCACGGTTTCACCTAGCACGGACACCGGTCGCCTTGCCGAACATCGAACAAACACGTAATCGAGCTCTCTGGTGGCTTTCGACGCCCGCGGCGCGGGTTCCGTCTTCCATCCCGGGGCCGTTTCGAATACACCGACCGAATAACTCGCGCGATAAATACACCGTCGAGACTCCGGTTGGCTTCGTATCGCGATAACAAATTCGTCCGCTCTATCCGCAAAGCATACCTCCGCCGGTGCTTACGTCGGGCGCGCGCGCGCGCTTATTTTCGGCCAGACCCGGCGCGCGAATCTTCCTGAAATTGCAAAGATACGTTGCCGCGAGCGCGAATAGGCGAACAGATGTAGGTTGCGGTGCGGGAAATTTACAGGATACTTTGGAACGACTCGGTGTGCGTCGAAGCGAACCCGCGGCTACAGTAATCTCTCCCAGAAACGTTCGGAACCGAAGCCGACGGATTCCTGTAAAACCGAGCCGCGAGGCTCGAATGATCGCGTCTCCTCTTCCCAGATCGTCTATTTTTCTATACAATCCGAGCGTCGATTAGGGAGAATTTACTGTAGCTTGTAGCATCGCGGTTTTTCTGACCTAAACAGACTATTTTCTGTTGTCTCTTTTGGAAATTCGCGCCGCATCGCATGCTCGACCGACTCCGTCGACCCTTAGCGTCGACGTAGAAAATAATTACGCAAGTGTAGCACTAGCGCAGGGAAATTAACAGCAAACCGAAATTTGACATTTCCGGGAGAATTTACTGTATTTTATTATCGTGGTTCCTAATTCGATTACAAATGCAGGACACAGTCTAATTAAAGCTTCCAAACGATTGCAATAAATTCTCTCCAATTGCCGCTCAGTTTATATACAAAAATAGATAATGTGAGAAGAGGAGATACGAATCACTCGAGCCTCGTGGCTCATTTTTACCGCTGTTGACAATCGGCGACTAGAAAAAATCACCGGGCCCAGTGCAGTCGGCCCTGCACTGAGTATTAGACTGAACAAGGCATAAAGAAGATCACATATATATTATTAGTCATTAGACATAAATATTTCTTTAAATATCTTCGATTGTCCATTCTCTCTTTCACGGTATAAAAATCGATGCGTGGGTCATCAGTGCCTGACCCGCGGGTCACAGGTTCGCCATCACCGGCTCGAATCTCGCGGGGGTGGTTGCAAATCTGCCGACCAACTTGCTGCTTTTACAGTAAGATTACGAGACGAGTTATCGTCGAATCTTCGCGACGCGCGCGCATAAGGAGGCGACACGTTGCCCGGAACGCGAACGGCCGAGCAGATGTTGCAGAAAATGTCGAGCGAGCGCGAGAGCCATCTTCTAGACGGCTCGAATAAGATTGTCGCGGCGGGGACGAGTCGCGACAAAGAGGCTTGTCGGGCACAGGTGCGCGGGACGATAAAGAATCGCGTTGCTCTCGAGTAGAGGCAGCCCACGGAGTCAGCCCACGTAGATTGGCCGGGCGATATTCACGAGCGGGCGCGCTCATTGTGCTCGAACGGGACGCTAATATCGTTGAACAGACGGTATCCGACGGCGACGTCCTAGGAACCTCCTCCCCCGCACCCCCCGAGGCGACTACTTTCATACCTAACGAGCCGTAATGTTACCAAAGGTATCTCTCCCCGGATAGCTGCTCCGCGCGATTATGTTTCCCCGGCGGTGTTTCGCGATACAGAACCGAACCGAAAGTGTTACAGGGACGCGCGCGCGCGCGCGCGCGACCCTCGAACGTCTGTTTCGTTCTTTCAGAAAGAAATCGCCGCCTCGACACGTGGGAACAAGGATAATGGCTCTGGCGCAGCCCGCCGACGAACGGAAAAAAAGGAAGCGCCGGGGCGCAGCGTTTCCCTCCTTCCGACCAGACGATCGCGAGCAATCGGATGGAATTCCGTCGAGAAGTTTCGAATGCGAACGCGTTGTTTGAACGCTGCTGCTCGGCACACACTTTTTCCACTTGGGAAATAACGTTTGCCTTCGGTCGAGAAGAAGTTTTCGCCGCGACGACCGGCGAAACTCTGTTCGACTTCGTCGAGCTCCGGAGTCGAGCGGCGAATAGGTCGTTGAATTCGCCTTGACATGATAAACGATTTAACGATTGACATCGTCCGCGCGAAATCGATGCTCTGTACAACCCTACGCCGGTTTTCGACTCCGCGCTTCTTCGTAGTTGCTCGAAGTTCGTAATTTTCCCCGCCGAGTCGCGGGAATCAATCGGGTCGGCGTTGCCTCGCTGCTGACCCAGCTTAACCGGAGCTGGCGAACAAGGTAGCAAAGTTGAAGGCCGAACCGGTGTAACCTCGGTACGCTGTTGACACTGGCAGAACGCGGCGCCGACGATGCCAGCGGATGCCAGCCAGCCAGCGTTCCCGGCGTACGCTTTCGAAAGGCGCTGCGCGTGTTTCTATCGATCGATCGACCTTCCCCGTTCACCGAAGGTGGGCCACCTTTTCGGCTTCACCTTGCACCTACGCCGTAGGAAGGCAAAGGCCAGCGGAGATTGATGGCTGGATAAGCGGAGGGAGAGTCTCGGCGCAGCGAGCCGGAGAGCCAACAACGGTGGACAAGAACGGCGAAACGGGAACGATTGATTCGGCAAAATACTCGCAACCGCTGGCAAATTACTGTAATTTATCCTGGAAATGCCAAATTTCGGGTTGCTGGGAATTTCTCTGTGCTAGTGCTACGCCTATGTGGTTTATTCCTACGAATTCCCGGAAGACGACAGAAAATGGTCTCTGTTTGGGCGCGAATCTGGTTAAAAAGACTGTGGGGGTAGAAGATATGTGATTGGTACAGTAAATTCTGTCTAATTTTAGTGAAATAAGTAATAAATTTTCCTTCAGCTTGTAAATAGAAATGAAGAGAGGAGAAGAGAACCGTCGACAATTATAAAAACGAGGCGCAAGGCTCGAATAATCGCATCTCCTCTTCCCAAATTGTTTTGTTTGCAAACCGAAGGAAAATTTGGGAGAATTTATTATACTAGGTACATGATTGTCGAATGGTGTCACGTGGCCTCCGAATCGCGGCAAACAAATTAGAAACAAAATAGTTAAGTCACCGCTTTTACTCCAACGTCACTATGTATTCAATCCTTTGCACTCGAGTGATGACTCTGAGGCACCGCTAAAATTGTTACATCTAATTCCAACATCATTTTCATATCAACAAAGTTTAGTTTAAAAATATTGTTAACAGTGTAACTGTCGTACGAGTCGCCGCAAGACACAATTTCATCTGCACACAATGCGCTTTGTCGTATAAAATGGAAATACTATAGGTCAGCAAAATGATTTTAGATTTACGGTTGAAATGGCTTCGAGCGCAAAGGGTTGATGTACACCGGCACGCTGGCCGCCGCCTTTTGCCCCGAGTTTCTATAAAAACGTACCGCGATGCCCGTTGAATCGCGACTTAATATTCTCGGATCCGCCGGTTTCAATTCCGCTCTCTGAACATTTCTTGGAAAAATTACTGTAAGACCAAGGTCCGCAAGGATATCGGGTGACCCTGTGGTTCGACGATCGAGAATAAAATCGAAGAAAGACGCCCACACGGGCCGGCAGCGAATTCTTGTCGCGGTTCGCAAAAAGAAATTCTATCGGGAATTTCATCGGGAACTTGCGAGGAATTCGCGTACCCCGATCGGTCAATGGAGTCCCGGGTGCGCGGTTTGACGTCATTCGCGCGTCCCTGTTTCGCGATCCGACGGCGTTCAACGAGGATCCATGTCACGGGAACGCCGGGGACGGGATCAAGTTCACCGTGCACTCGCGAGTGCGAGTCAGTTTCAACGGGCAACTTCCATTTCGTAAGTTCCGAACGCTAAGTGGATTGCAAATTTTATGCGTCTATAGAATACCCAGCCGTCCGACAAGGGAACGTTAAAAGTTTAACTGTTCATTAGCGTAGCAGCTATCTGCCGTTGGTCCGTCCGAAATTCTGCAGGCTCGCGAAAAGATGGGAAATCGTTTTACAAAGAGATATGTACCGGATAATGTGCTTTATACCGTGAATCGACCGCGTTTCAGTCGCGGAGCTATTGTTTAACCGAGGTGAACCGAGCACCGAAGCCCGTCCGACGCGTGTTGCCAAGTCGTATGAATTACGAGGCTGTATTTGTTTGTTTATCCGTATTCGTTATTACATCTTACCATGTTTATCATAACGCGCGCTCGAATTAACCCTTTGCAGTCGAAGCTGTTTGAATTCGAGATCCA